TCTCAATGGACTTCCAAAATAGAACGTCAACATGACATATGATTTCAATAATATTCTAAACTTGAATTTTTTATAACGTGCACTTTAATTAGAATCAATTACTTCAACAAGAAATTCAGGTCACACCCAAATTTCAACAATTTTCACATTGACACGAATTCCACAAAGGAATGAATTGACTTATTCAACAATAACCAAAACATTAATTTCTTTAACCAAACACAAATAACTCCACCTCTTCCAATGAATCCAAGCACTACTCTGCATAATTATCTCAGATTCTAAAAAATCATAATGATTTTATAGTTTACCAAAATGGGTTATAACATACCCCAAAACAGAATCAATACCAAATGCTTTTACAGAACGCTCATTACTAGATTGTACACTTTCTACTTCACTGAAAGCATGCTCAACAAAATCAGCATCCACATGCCATTTTCCATTAGGTCCATCCCTAGCAATTGAATACAAGACACCATAGGTGATGGGGGCAAAGTGATATTATCCATATCTCCTGAACTGTATTCTTTAAATCCCACCATTTATGAGCTCCTAAAGGTATTGTACCAAACTGAATGTCCACCACGGTCCTGAACTTGTGCTGATTGACTCTTTTAAATTCTGCACGACCCTGGAAGATGTATAATTGAGACTTTTTCTATCCCTCCAATACAACTTGGGTACCCTTACAAACCTTCAAAACTCCACCTCCACCAAAGAACTCATAACCTTTTGAATCAGGAATAGACAACGAGATGAGATTTTTCTTCAAATCTGGAACATGCCAAACCTGCCCAAGTATTCTAATTGTCCCATCCAAAAGCTTCGATCTGATTGTGCCAATTCCAGCAATACGACAAGATGTGTTGTTTCCCATAACCACGATACCTTTGGAAACAGTTTCATATGTAGTAAACAAGTCCTTATTAGGACACATATGAAACATACATGCTGTATCAAGAATCCGATCATCTTCCGATTTATACTCAATGTCAAAAATAGCTAAGAGTTCCCCATTACTTACAACGTTCTCCACGAGATGTGTTTCGCTTGAAGTATCTGAATATCTACCTGCAGCCATCCTTTCTTTATTCTGTAATTTGTAGTAATCCTTCTTTAAGTGCTACTTCTTCTTGAAATAGTTACAAATTTGATTACTGAATTTAGATTTCGATCTGCCCTTTCTAGAACTACTATAAGCACCAGGTCTTCTCCATCTCTGGCCTAAAAAATCAGATGTTTCATCTTCTCTTTTAAATATAAAGTATCATACACTTCCTCTGTGGTTAAAATATCACGACTATACAAAATTCTGTCTGTAAATGAAGAAAACGAAGCGGGCAACAAGCACAATAGGATCAAGGCCAAATCTTCTTATTCATACTCTACTTCAAAAGTTTCTAAATCAGTGGCGATTTCCTTAAATACAGCCATGTGATCTTCTAATGATCCTCCTTCTGCCATTCAATGAGAGTGTAAACGCTGCTTGAGGTTCAACTTGTTTGTCAGACTTTTAGTCATGCACAATTGCTCCAACCTCAACCATAAAGCAGTTGTTGAATTCTCATTCAAAATGTCATGAAGAATAGTATTTGATAGATGAAGATGAATGTGAGAAACTACCTTCTTATCCTTTCGTAATTTCTTCTCCACGGTCAAAGTTGCGGGCATCTTGTCAATTCCCAACAACGCATCATCCAAATTCAGTTGTGCGAGTACTACACGTATCTTAACCTGCTATAGTGAAAGTCTAATGCTCCGATCCAAAAGTGGAATGTTATAACTCATGGAAGCATCATGTATAAAAAAAATCTTGAACAAATCAAACATTGTGCTCTTGCGGAACTGCTGAACCTGACACTCTGATACCAGTTGTTACAAAACAATCAGGATACCAGAATAGCTCTGATACCAATTGTTGTGGAACAAACTACCGGATTGAAATATAGAAGTATATGACAAATAATAGTGAAGTATTTGATCAAACAAAAGAATAACGAATGCAAGAATATGACAAAAGAATTAAGAGATTTTATTGACTCAAAAATAATGGAGAAAATAAAAAAATTACAATAGATCATATAATTCTAGTAATCTATTTTTTCACATTATAAAATTGTATAGAAGAGTCTAATATTTATAGGAAATAAGTAGGGGATGTCGAAACCCATCTAGTAGAGTTGTTGATGAAGTAGAATACCATAAAATTGAGTCCAAAACAAATTCCAACTTCCAATGAGCTTTCAAAATAGAATTTCAACATGACACATGACTCCAATAATATTCCAAATTTGAATTCTTCATGAAATGCACTTCAATTAGAATTCTTCAATTACTTCAATAAGGAATTCAGGTTACATCCAAATTCTAACGGATCTAAACGTAACTTCATCGCTGACTCAAAAAACATCGGAATTATATGATTTATTGGTAATAAATTAATTATGTTAAACAAATAAAAGCTAATAAAAGATAAAATAGATTCATGCTTTAAATTTTGAATGAAATTATGGCTGGCTAGCTTATTTTGAGTCCAGATTTTGTTTATAATCAGACTCAAGATTCTATTACAATTTAATGACAACAAGAAGAATCCAGAAAATTAAATTAACAACTTCCAAATTGTATAGATGCATTTCACTCGTATCAGCCTCCTGTTGTTCTTGATTTTGGAACATCATATTATAGGTTTGCTTTATTTTTTGGGAGAATTGATTTTGTAATAGTGATTTTGGAACATCATTTTGAGCTTGAATTCCTGTCTATTTGAGACGCGAGTATGGCATCAATGGCTTCTTTAACCTGAGAGAGCTCAGGAGCTTTTCCACCTTGCGCAGGCCAAAATTCATCAGTTGCCAATACCTGTAAATACCCAACTAAAATTGTGAGGAAGATACAGAAAATTTCTACCATTGAGGCCATGTTTGATTGGCATATAGAATTGGGCTTTGATAACAAGAAAACTGGAAATGAAACTCACCTTCACTTGCAATTGGAGAAACTTGACATAGCTGATTGCTTTTTCCAGCATAGTAACCAAATCGACCTGCAGAAGAATTTTTTTTTTTGGAACAAATTAACAATACTTATGCGTGCATAAAACATTTACACGAAGAACAATGGATTAATACCTTGGAGCCATTGGGGACAAGATCTTGGAGTATCTTAAGCCGCTCGCTGATCCTCTCTCTTCGATTCTACAATACAAACATTCTTCTAGTTAGCCTTTGGATTTCCCTTTTTGATCTTGCCTGTTTTGCAGATTACTTATAACCCAGACAAAATAAGATTTAAGCGCTTCAAAAAGAAGCAAACCTTTGCTGCAATACTTTGTGGATCCTTCGCAGGTGTTGACTTTGGTTTGGGTTTATTCTTTGAACCAACACTTGAAGCATCAGTGCATTGCTTCTTATGAGCCTGCGAATTCTCTCCCTGTGAAAAGAATTAACTCAGAAATATATGCATGCAACCCTATATTTAAAGAATTTGCTGCTGAAGATCAGTTTATTACCGTAATTGGGCGTTTACTCGAGCCTGTTTCTTGTCTAGTATTCTCTTGAATGCCATTAGTATGTGTATTGGCCTCAGAATTTAGCCACCAAAATTTCCCTCCACTTCCCGGAGAGCCGTAATCGCTGGCATTTAGGCTGTTGGATGTTTCCAATAGACTGTGAGTGGTGGTGCTGCACTTGGGATTCAGCTGATACTGATTATTACCGTGCAAATGGTCTTCCCAGACTGAATAATCATCTTGTTGGTTACTCATTTTCAAGCCTTTGCTTTGCCCAAAAATAAGCAATGATCCACCGGTTTGCATGAAATTACCATACTCAGGTTTGAAGCTAATTACGGTGTGACTTTCTTCAGACAGATATGGTGTTACCTGGTACCCTAATCCATTAGAATTCGAGCTGCTAGGACTGGATACTGAAGAAGAATTGCTCATAGTGAAATTCTGTGCAAAAACGGCTGCTTTTTCGCCCTCTTGGAACTCCATTTTCTGGGGCTCATCCATTCTATATAGCTCGGCAGAAGGATCCATGGAAGCATGAAATGATGATCCTCCAAAATTATTTCCATAATATGCAGTGGCTTGAACTGAACCCAAAGTTGGATCATTAGGCATAGGGTCCTTGGCCAGTGCCATTGAATAAGAACAGACTCGAATGCAAATTAACTAATAGCAGAGGTTTTCAGAATTTGGAAATAGATAAAAGAGGGTGTTCAACTTTTGTGGCCCCTACATTAGTAGTGATGGTTAGCTAGTATATATTCGAGTTCTGATAAGGAAAACAAGAAGTGTGAATTTACTATATATAGGTGATGAACATGAAATGCATCGATCCACATTGAAGACATAATTTAAATAAATAACTCTTTCAATCACTCAAGTTTTTGAATAAGTTAGTTCAACAGGGTGTTATGTTGTAATATGTGGCTAATGTAGAATGGAACATATGTTTCTATAGGGATATTTTTGGATTTTCCATTAAAAGTCTTTTACGGGCCATAATTTTTTTGTACGGGTTAGGGGCTCAGGTTAGTATATATAGATGATGTATCCCTATTATTCATGCATAATAAAAATCATAGCCGCTTCACTCCTGTGGACGTAGTCACATTGCCGATCCACTTAAATTTTTGTTCTTATTTCTTTGTCAATTTTATATTCTTCATCATTATTCTTGTTGCTCAAATCACAACATGTTAAAATATAGAAAAATATGGATTCAAATCTTGTCGCTCTCTTTTACAAAAATTGTAAACACGTTATATCTTTGAATATGACCTCCATGTGTTTTTGAAAATATAATTTCGTTTTTTCTATAATAGTTTAAACTTTTAAATAAGCCGGTTCAGCAAACTCGATCGAGCATCTAAAAGCTATGAGACTCTATGGTATTATGCATGTTGAATTAGGTGATGTAAAAGTTGAGACCTTTAGCAAGATACAAGTTTGTATACTAATGGGGTTTATTTAATGATTGAATGGGGTTTGCTAGCTGGCAGAGTTTTTAGCAAATGGCAGAGGAGAGAAGAGCAGTGTAATTAGATAAAAAGGGGGAAATCAGCAAAACCTTCGGCGGTTCTTTCGCCAATGCACGTCGTCTCAGATTCCTCACCATGTATCTTTATACAGCCTGAGTATGAAGAGGTGTCCTTCCTACCCATTTTCGTACACACTTACGAATCCATAAGCACGTGGATTCTATTCTTTTTAATTTTATTTTATATCTTACATTCCATTGATCTATAGCTATGTCATAAATAACATGCTCCAGCCTTGATTGGGACATCATGAATAGAGCAGTACACCTACGTCTTCAATCACCCAATGAAACTTGCATTAGAATATCGTGCATACCGTATGATGTGCGTAGACAGTAGACGAGGAAGAGACATTACATGATATGGACATGCCGATACAACTTTTCGAAGAAACAAGACTTGATGTGTGAAATGTTGGACGTGAATCCCACAACATTCAAATAATGAATTTTTTTCGACATGTGTCAGACGTTAACACAATACTGCTCTAAAAGAAATGTCCAAATTTCATGAATAATGCTATATGTCCATTCTTCCTTACAACACGGTTGACATTCCCCATTATGTGGAGAAAATATGTGTAATAATGTGATAGATGAGTTTAAAAACAAGAGCGTAAATGTTGCCACGTAAAATAATGTAAAGAAAAGTGTAAGGAAGATGGTACATGTAGCATGATTGAAGTTTCATAGTTTGATGTAACGGTTGGAAGAGTTCGAGCTCCCATGTTTGATAGAAATTAAAATCTAGATTTTATCAAAATCAAAGTTAATAATTAATTTTTACCACATATTTATGGAATCCAAAACTTTTTAACCACACATTTCATCAATTGTTATCAAAGTCTGCTAATTAAAATTTTGATTTTAATCTCCACCAAATATAGAGCTAAGTTTTAATCCTCGTATTAAAAGTTCCAAAGCACATTGAAAAAGGCTGAAATTATGGTAGATTGGTAGGTTTGGACTTGTGTTTGTGTGTCTTTAATGCCTAGTCAGTCATAGAGACATGAATGACAATTTTTATAGATGATTAACGATGATATTTCAATTTAGAGTTATGTCATTCAATTTTAGTCTATGTAATAGTTGAATTATTGTCGAATTGTTCAGTAAAGATGGGATGCATTTTTATGCATTGGGCAATATGCTTGTAACCCTACTTTCACATTAGATCGATATTTAACATAATTGGGGTTGAATAATATTATTTTTGAATATAGGACACATTAATTGCGACTTAACCATTTAATCTGAATTAATGTTAAATTAAAATTAACTTCCTCTTTGATTCAACACCGATTAGACTGGTTCGTATGAAAACCTACTAAGTAGTAACTTTCAAATACATAGAACCCGATAATTAATAAAAATGGACAATCTTAAGCCAAATTCTCTTTTCCAACCCGCCTTCCCCTTTTAGGGCATATCTGAAAGAGAATTCAGTATTTTTTTTATCGTGAATATTTGAATTGATTGTTCGTTTTCAAGAACGTCCAATGAATGGTTCATCTCCTGTTTTTTCCCTAATTATTGTTGCTTATACTCGATTGATCGTCATAACCACTTTCAACAGGAATCACTACAATCGACATTTTTAAATTTGGTAATCTTAAGTTTTTGAATATGCTCATCAATGATGATTAAGTAACAATTTGTGAATATTTCAGAAATTGATAGAGATCACAACCACATGTTTGTTGTTTTTATTTTTCCTAACAAGGTAAGATGCAATATTAATTACATGAAATCAATGCTGGCATTGGAATTAACGTAATTCCTTGTCTTCGGGAGGTTGTCGTGCCTTACTTTCTGTACTACATATAAACAATTTTCTGAATACATCATAGTATATAATTATCATAATGAATATGGACCAGTTTACATGCAAAGCCAGCTTCACCTTATCCTTCTGGAATATTCATATACTAAAATATTGAATAAGTATTTTACGTCGCTGATTAATGGACCTGGCTGGTTTTACTTCATAATTACCATTTAATTAAGTTGATTATAAGTGATATATTTTTAATTCAAACGAGCACATCTTTGAATGTCAGCACATGGACAATATATATATATATATATACACACACACACACACACACAATTAAGCTGTTAATTAAGTTGATTAGTAAAATAAACTTGTTTTTAATCAGAAGATCAATGAGTTTAATGCTCTAAACTAAGTTGACCTTATTAGCAAAAAGAAAATTCTTTTCATTTTTT